TAGGTCCAACGGCTAAGACCATGTGCTAGTGACTTACGCCTGAAGGGAGGGGGCAAGGGTTCGAGCCCAGCTGTGGTCAATTTTTAAATTTTTTTTTCTCTTTTGTTTATTTTACATTATATTATTTAATTAATGTGTTCTTCGATATATTAAAGGATCCTAGATAAAAAAAATAAATTCTTCTATTCGGGAATCTTCAAATAACGTTTAAAAACTGGAAAAATCCCGGAAAATTACTTTATTTATGATATATTATTTTTTTAAAAATCGTTTTACAATATTTTCACGACAGTTTAGCATACGAAAGGTGCTCTATGTGTAATTTCAATTGTTTTTATTTGCGAAAGAACGCATAATGGAATAAAAAATTAATGTAAAATAAAATGGCGGGAAAGAATTTTAAATTTCAAGACCGACTTACTCCCTTTATTATTAAGTTATAATTTTAAAAATCGGACTCAAGGTGGGCCTCTAAAAGCCGAAGCACCCCTCCAAATTATATTTTTATATATCAATAAGGGGGGTCGCTATGGCTCCTTAAATCTTTTGTTTAGCTAGCCGGGAGAGGGTAGTTGAAGCTATGTAGTAGCTCGAACGCCGTATAAGCGTGGTCCAACGGCTAAGACCATGTGCTAGTGACTTACGCCTTAAGGGAGGGGGCAAGGGTTCGAGCCCAGCTATGGTCAATTTTTAAATTTTTTCTCTTTTGTTTATTTTACATTACATTATTTATTTAATGTGCTCTTCGATATATTAAAGGATCCTAGATAAAAAAAATAATTTTCTTTTTTTCGGGAATCTTCAAATAACGTTTAAAAACTCTACGGAGTTGAACATTAGTAGTCGTAAACCCAGGAAATTGGGTCGGCTGTTCAACAACGGTTATAAAATAAAATGTTGACAGGTGATAAAAAGGTTGGGGAACACTGCTGTAAGGATCTCTTTTTTAAAAATTACTTTGAGGGAAAGTTGACATTGCTTGCGCAGTTTGGAACTTCAGTAGCTTTTGAAAAAATTCGAAATTGTGTTCATAAGTTGCACTAAGTTCCTGATTGTTGAAGTTTTCATTTTTCATGCTCAGCTCTATCCTTAAAATTTTTTTAGCCCCTAGATCAGTTTTAGTGCAACGATCTTCCCTTTTCTCCTCCAGGCACAAAAATTTCATTTCGGTGGAATGCTTATTCATAAAAGAACTAAGCGTAGTTAAGCATTTTATTTAAATCAAATGTTTGATCGCAAGATGAAGTAAGATAAAAATAGAATAGAATTCTACTCCATACTCAATTGGAATGTTCTTAACGGTCTGGAAAATGAATTTTAATTCGAATCGTCTAAATGAGTTTCAAAATGTTCATATCATCTATTGAATTTTCAGAATATTTAAAAAAAATTCCTAACAATTACAACTAATTTTCGGGTCATTGATTTTCTTTTTGGGAAGATGAGTATTTATCAATGAACCCTCTGTTAAAACTGTTATAAACAAGTATAACAGCCATTGGCAACTAAGAAAAAATTATTAGATGTCATTGACACCTCATTTTTTCACGGGAATTTTTGTAACCCTGGATTAATTCCAAAAGTGAGGTCATTCATGAACATTCTGAACATTTCCAGCAAATTGGTCACCTAGATCACCGGACATAAATCCCATTAAAAATTCGTAAAGAAAATCTTACAACACTACACTTTTGTAATCCTGGACATCGATTGAGGCTGCAGGGCTGAATACTTATTGAATAAATGCCACGTCGAGTTAATGTCAGAAAAGACAACACTAAAAGGTATCCCATGACTTCTTTTCAACTCAGAGTGTAATATTTAAATAATTTCAAAAATAGAGCATTGGTCGAGTTTTCTATATAATCACCACTTCATTCAGTGTTTTTTTTTTTTTATGTTAAGCTGCGATAGTTATATCCCCATGTCATACATACCATCTACGAAAAAAGTGATAGTCCTCATCTGCCGTCACAGCAAAGGAGTCGAAATAAGTTGCCTTTATGCATGCTAGGACTGTTATAAACTCCAACAATTTCTGTCAAATACGGAATCGTAAGAGAGTACGAATTCACCTCGATGACTCTCACTAAGATATTTCACAGCAGCTTCAATGGCCTGTAGCATGGAGTCAGTCACTGTGTTCCCTATTTTTTCGAGAAATGTGATTGGGGGTTTTAACTTTCAACTTTTACCAATTACTATTTTGGTGTCCAACTGTGTTTTTTTTTCATTTTATCAATTTCCCTGTCATTAAATTTTCATTACGGTGGCTTTTACTTGCGCTGCAATTTTAATATGATCCTGTTTTTGATCTTAGCTCACTGGTTTTAAAAATTGTATTGCTTTGGCCCCTTTTTGGTACAATTTTTACTTTTACATCATTCACTTTGTACACTTTTAGCTTAAATTTTTGAGCTTAATTTTCATTCTTATCTGCCTGTGTTTTATGATATGCAAGTGTGTAAGAGTTGAAAGCAAAATATAAGGGTCTGTTGACTTCTGTGCTCTGCTAAACATATGAGGGTCCTTTGACCTAATTTTATTATATTGTTTGTTTGGTTGCTCTATTGTCATTGTCCCTAGTGGCTGAACTTGTACGTAACTATGTATCAAGCCATCTGATGTACTTAGATATAACCCTGTTGCCTGGAAATTCAATTTCGTAACCATTTTGAATATTAATAAATGCCACGGTGGGGCTCCGCCGGGTTCCCCGACCGGCATGGACTGAGCCTGCGCCCCTCTCCTGAGTGGGCCTGCCGCGGCGACGGGCCAGATATTTGACACACACCCTAAACAAATAGGGTGGGTTGTGCACAATACAACTTTTCCGAGAAACGTGATTCAATTCTTTTACCAGGTGCAATTCAAATTCAACCCTTTCTCGAGGACATGGCATGAAGCTGGTGTAATATGGGCATACAAAAACTGTCACAACATTTACAAAAATAAAAGTGTGATTCTGTAGAAAAATTGACAAATTTTCAACCTTTGGCGTGTATTAAATGTTATTAAAAACAAAGACATTTTTGTATTTCTAAAAAGAATATTTTACTTTTCTAAAAAAATATTTTACATTTTTATATTACGATTCTTTTTAATTCTGAAAAATATTTTTAACCCTAAGAATATTTTTATTTACATATTTTATGATCCTAAAAATCATTTTTGGTGTCTAATTGAGTTCTTCTGAAAAATTATTTCAAAAAATTAATTTACTTCATATTTTAGCTTAAGATTGCAGTATCTTTTCATTATTGTATTGAAAATGAGTAAATATATTGATTTATCATTTATATCATCTCCATTTTAAAATATTTCATTTGAAATGCCCTAGAGGGAATCTAAGAATAGTTCGGAAGATGTAATTGAAAGTAATGTGGATGCATTCTAAATATTTTTAACAAGGTGGATAATGGACTTCATTGTCATTCTCTTTATCAAAGTCGTTGAAAAAAAGCAAGTTCATTATGACCGTCATAGTCTAAGGTTTTTGTTTTCTGAAACTTTCTTGATAGGTTTTATGTTAGACAGTGTTCATATTTTTTAATTTTATTATCGTGAGAACTAACTATCGAAAGCTTCATTTTAACCTTGAGTTTGATGTAGCCATAACCTCACTTATTTGCCTTTTATTTAAACAGCATCTTATTTCCCTTATTAGACAGACTTCTATCCCTTTCTTTGTTTTTTTTTTTTAAATAACTGCTACATTATAGTTAATTTTTTTAATAGAAGAAAACATAGTAATATTCTTAAAATTGTAGTTGGAAAGCAATTTTTCTGATGATTTTTAAGAGTAATTTGTTTGTATATTTTTCAACAAACCAGTATCAGTAACTTATTTTTACAAGTTCTTAAGATTCAAATGGATAGATAAGGTATATTTGAAAAATCTTGAAACCCCAATTTTCTAATTTTAGGACCTATATTGTTTATAAAATCTATTAATGCAAAAAAAAAAATTTAACTTGATTAATCATTAATTTTTAGTTTAGAAAATTCTTGTGTACTTTTGAGGGGAAAGAAATATTACATTAAAACAGTAGTTAGGTTTCAGCATAGCTTTTGAATTAAATATTAAAGAGCTATGTGATTATGTTATTAATTAAACATTAAAAAGCTATGATAAAAGCTGTTTGATGAAGATCATCTGATCAGTGAATTCTAAACAGCAATTGCTTTTGAATAAAAAGATAAAAACAATAAGTAATTAAAGTTTTTGAAATAGCAAATTTAAATTAGGTTATTTTTTACTGTTCATGCTTGATAAGCTCTAAATTTGCACTTTTACTGTATTTGTACTGTGCAATTAATGGATGGCTCAATTTAAAATTTTAATTAAATTTTATCTTTATTTGATAAAAAAGTGAAATAAAAATTTCAAAGTGATGAAGATCTATCGTAGACTATCCTAAACCTAGATGTAAAACTTGAATAGTGAACAATCCTTAAATTCAAGCTTATTATGGTACTCATCTATAAATAAAACAGTTTATCTACTCTTCTCAATTTCAAAATTGTAACGATTGGAAAATGAAGAAATTTTTGATGAAATTTTCCCTAAACACTACAGAGCATTCCTTTCCAAATACTTTTGAATCGCTCTTTTGGAGATGGTTATTATGGGTGGTGAGTGCAAATTGTGTTTTGTGACACATTGTTCTGTCTTTTTATAAAGAATGTTAAATTAATTTGTCTTTTTTAAGATAGTGAAAAAGTGCTCTCTGTTTAAGAGAGAAACCAGATGTCATATTAGAGATATCTCTAAATGCTGCGTCTGCTGTACTTCGGATACTCTAAAAAAACACACACACATCCAATAAATAAACTAATGGACAATAAAAATTTCTCACACAAATAATTAGAGGTAGGTGACAGTACTTTGAAACATTTACCAAGCATTTTTTTTTGTCATGTTATAGTTTAATTTCTCATTTCAATAAAAAAAATAAATGAAACACAGCTTAAATGTCATAAAACAAACATTAGAAAAATCAAGTTCATAAAATTTTATTTTATGGCTCTAAAGGAGAGTAAGATGTATAAAAAATAAAGCAAAATTTTGAAAGAACAAAAAACAGGGTATGATAAAAATGAATGGAGATGTACAGGAGATGTTAGTTTTTATATTTATATCAGCAGCAAATCGCAACACAGTGTCTTTCAGAAAAGAAACCCTAAGTGGTCAAAGCAAATATTCGTACAATGCATTAAATTATCCAATACCCTTTCTAAAATCTCACTGCTGATTCCTAAGCAAGGCTTTTTCTTCACTGTATAAAAATATGGTAGCATTTCTTCAGGAGACCAAACAATTGATTATTGCATGGTACTATATCAGATGTATATAGAGGACGGCTAAGAATTTCTCAGTTGATTTGAAACAGCGGAGTTCCGGGGAGTGTAAATGCTTGAGGCAAAAATTCTCCATCGACAATAATTCTGAAAGAGATAAGGAGATAATTTTCTGGAGAGGACAAAAAAGTTTAAAAAGAAGTATCATATTGGAACATACATACAGTAGGGGGACCGGAAAGTAATGTCGTTTTGGTGGATTTGATATTGGGTATCAAGATTTTATTTTTAATCAGTAATGTATTCATTCTCGTTAGCAACAACTTTTCAATGCCGGATAAAAAATAAATCTAAAAAAATGAATTGGTTTTTGAGACTAATGAATATCTAATGCACAGAAACGACATTACTTCCCAGTCCCCCTAAAACAAAAAAATTCAAATCAATATATTGAATTCAATTTTATGTAAATGTAAGTTATTGTTTTGTAATAAACGCATTATTTCATATAAAATAATTCTTAAATGTAAAATATTGAAATATTAATCTTCAAATTCATTATTTAAGTTTCTCAAAAATTATATTTTATTCTTCAAAAAATGTTTAATGTAAGCCAAGTATTCAAATTCAATTTCCCAATAAAAATATATGGCAGTAATCTACTATTTACGAAGTTTTAGTGTAATACTAAATCGTTGGTTGAACCCCTATATGAACCACTGATTTGAAACCAAGTAGGTGTTTTTTTGATCTTTGGGTTGAATCCAACTACTCTATGAGTCTTTTAATGGTTTAGTCAATGTGAGACATAGACTTGATAGCAACATTCATAACAAGTCTTATTTTTGACTATGTACAACACTTATAACAGCATATGGTAGCAACATTTATAACAGGTTACATTCATAACAAGTCTTATTTTTGATTATGTACAAGATTTATAACAGCATATGGTAGCAACATTTATAACAGGTTACATTCATAACAAGTCTTATTTTTGACTATGCACAACATTTATAACAGCATATGGTAGCAACATTTATAACAGGTTACATTCATAACAAGTTTTATTTTTGACTATGTACAACATTTACAACAGCATATGGTACCAACATATGGTAGCAACATTTATAACAGGTCATAACCAGTCTTATTTGTGACTATGTACAAAAGAATTTAAAAAAAAAAATGGCCCAGTATAGCTGAATATCATTTGCAAATTCATGAAAGATTCAAGTAAACTAACCTTCGTTTGAAAGCCTTTTAACACAAGAAATATGTGTGCTTTTGAAAAATTAAGTAAGTTTCTTCATTCAAATATATTGACTTCATAGTTAACCAGATACCATAAAAGGAAGAAGTGGGTACTACTTTTCCAAAATCATATTTGTAAATAACCCAATGATTTATTTAAAATTTTTTCATAATCCCAACAGCAAAGTATGAAGATCAAATAAACTTTCCCTTTTATTTTGAAGAAAATTTCCTTATAAATAATTTCCTTAACACAGAATAGAAATCGGATGAACTGTTTCTGAGGTCTAGGGACAAGTAAAGTAATCTTTTACAAAATCAAGTAGTTTGTCTCAGTCTTGAACACACTTTCATCAGTATCAAAACAAATTGAGAACAATTTTAGAAATTGCTCAACTTAAAGATGATATATTTTGATAATTAGATTTCACATAGTTATTTTCATTCTTTTTTTTTTTATCTCAGGTATTTAATGTATTAGAAGTAATAAATAGACATTGAATTTTACACTAAAAAGTCAGTAGAGCTATTCATGATTTTTAATGGATTGATATTTGTTAAACAATCATGAAAATACAATGTTTTCTTACTTTTTCCTATAAAGCATCATTGCAACAATATGAAACAATAATATTTATACTTTTGAACTATTTAGATATATAATGATATTTAGAAATCAAGATGGTTTTTTAATGCAGTAAGAAGAATAAACAGTGATAAAAACTGAAATTAATTTCACAATTTCATAATATAAAAATTTTTTGAAAACAAGTCAGAGTGTACTATTTTGTTAAATCCTCTAATAATAACTGTATATTTAATTTTGGTCATTAGAAAACACTTTAAATATTCCATACCTTTCTTTAACTGTACATTTTTCTTCTCTCATGACTATTTCTACTTCTGATCTTATTGTTTTCTTTGAACCTGGAATTCACACATACTGAGAATCAACAGAATTTCTTGAATTTTTGAAGAATATTGAAAGGGTATTTCAATTATTTTTTTTCCAAATCTGTAAAAGGAGAGCATTATGGTGAAATATTGGGAAATAATATTGTGAAGAATGCAGTATTCTAACTATATCTAAGTTATATTTCCATTTTGTCACATAATTTATTAATAAATGCAAAATTAAATCACTTTATTCTGTGCACTTCATTTGCACTTTTTGTAGAGCACCCTAAAATATACTGTAGGAATGCTTTCACTCATTACAGTTTTCCTTTTTATAAAAAAAATAGAGAACAATGTAACTAATGTGAATTATTCATAATAATATAATGAAATATTGTAATTGAGCAAAATTATCATAACATTATGAACAAAAACTTCTTTAAGGGCTCGTTTAAACATTTTGCAAAAATGCTAACTGACTGAATTTTAAGTTTTGAGAAACAATTAATGCAAATAATAATGTAACTTATAAATTGGTCAAATATAACATTTATTGCATTAATTAAGTTAATACATTACTACATAAAAACAGCAATTGCACAGAAATTAGTCAAAATAATTTACAGATTTGCACAGAATTTTTATTACAGATTTAATAACATATTTATGCAAATTTTTTATAAATCTTATAAATAAAAATAAATACTAGAAAGAAAAAAACGTTTTTCTGAAAATTGAAGTTATTACATATTATGTTTGTAGGGAGTGGATGTATTTTGAAGAGTTTCGTGACAAGTAAGAAAGATAGTATCTGAAATTAACAGTTATTGTTCACTTGTGACCTACTTAAGAATGAGAGATTATTAGGCAAGATTCCTTCATGTGCAGTAAGTTTCTCATTTGAAATATTTCATTACATTTGAATGTTTTCTTTTAATAAACATGTCATAAAAGATCAATAATTAAAAAGTTCAATTGGTACTGATGCATTAAAAAATAATAAGTATCAATTATTTAATATTCTTTCATACCAATATTTATTTAAAATTTACAACTAAGTTCATGACTTCCTGAATAAATGTGACTTCCTTAATAAAGTGGGGTTGCAATAATTTTGAAACAAAAGCACAGTAAATATGCACATTTGTATTAAAAAGAAATTTTTTTCCTGAACTAAAGTAAAACAAATAATATTAAATTGAAAATACAAATCTTTCTATTATTCAAACTGATTACTTTAGAAACTGTATTAGTATTCATAGAAAATTGGATGTTCTTAGTACAAATAAATCAGGAATATCAGGACTAAAAGCTAAAAATAATGATAAACCATTTTTTTAGACAGGAATTCAGAAATTTGAGGACTACAGTCTTTGATATTATTAAACTTTATCATGTATTTAATCACATATTTAATCATGTATTAAATTTTATTATGTTAAAATTAATGAAAATAGTTTATACATTATTTATTATCAAACTATTAATGAACTATTTATTATCAAACTATTAATGAAAATAGTTTATACATTATTTATTATCAAACTATTATTATTAACACTTACTTTTAATATTTTACATGTAGTTCATGACATTTTTGTACCTTTTCATAAAATCATGATTATAAAATATATATGATATATTGCACTTAAAATATATTATAATTTGTATTGATTCAATGGATAAAAAAAAAGAAATATTTCATAAAATTTAATTAAATACTAATATTATAAATTTTATACAGCTAAATAATGATGCTAATTAAATAATACTTAAAAATATAGCATTTTATGTTACAGAAAAGTAAGGGGGAGGGGGAAATCATTCTTTAACTTATATTATTAAAATAAAATTTAAATGCTGCACTTATTTGCATGCTAAATGGAGTTGTAAAATAATATTTTTTAAAGCATACTTAAATTATTCAGTTCGTCTTTTCCTTTTTTATTATTATTTTGTGAGCATATTTAAGGTGGATATTTTTGATTTGTTTATTAAAAACATTAATATTAATTAATATTTAATGGAATAGTTAAATGCTATGAAATACATTGAACTGATTCCCGAAATTTTAATTATGGGCTTAAGACATTGTTCCACAGATTGTTTTTTAAAAAATAACAAAACAAAAAAAACATAATTTAAACCAAGAAAATCATATTATATTTTTGATCCAGCTACAAAAAATAATAATTCCCTTTTTTGCACATGACTTCAGAGTTTATCAGGATATTTTTAAAAGATGTTCCCTAATTTTTATAAGAGAGCACTTTCATTTTGTGTCACTTGGCATACTTGAATTTGCTATGCATATTTCTAAATTGAAGTGGAAAAAATCCAAATATCTTGACACAAATTTTTTTTCTTTCCATCTTTAAAACATATATTCTCCCTTAAAGCTTGATTTAATAAAATGGTGATGATTTTATTCTCTGAAATTAGCTATTAAAAATCAGCCAATTGCATAATCCAGTTATTTTATCAGTGTTATCCCTGTATATATAAATATAGATATATATAATTCCTACGGCAGGCACTGAACATTCGTTCTTCACCTTGGAAGAGGCTAGAAGTGTTGCTTATTCAACTTTATCCAGTGGGCACCTGTTAACCTAAGTCACGGAGGCAAGCAGTATCGAGCATAAAATCGGCAGCTTTTAAAAATTATAAGTCATAATCGAATGAATTAAAATCGATAGTCAGTGGGTAGTGTAATTACTGAAAGAATTACAGTAGAGTATGCTTTATAATGGAGAGAAATTTAAAATGCCTTCATAACAACAGTCTTCATAAGTTAAACGGAACTTTGTGCATTTCAGACAGCAAATTGGTCCATTCATCTACAACCCTTTTAAATTGCGTAAAAAAAATAAAATAATTAAAATTAAAAAATAAATTAAATGAAATAAAGTAAAAAAAAAAAAAGTGGATGGAGAAAATGACCTGTTACTAGCCATTTTGGACAACTTCACTAAAATCTTTTTCACTTCCATTATGTTGTTGGAAAGGACCATGGACAATGTTACAGCACAATTATTTTTCTCTAAAATTTCTGCATCTCCAGAAATAATAAAATTAAAAAAGATTACATAAAGATTCATAAGAGAGAGTACAATAGAAAGTAAAAATTAAACAATTTTAGTAAATATATTAGAGAAAGAAAAACTTACAGATATTTTAGAAAAATCAATATGCAATATTATCATTATTGATAGTAACAAAACAGAATAGGAAACTTAAGTAAATATATTAAAAAACAAAAAATTTACAGAAGTTTCAGAAAAATCAGTATGGAACATTATGATTAATGCTTCAAAAGTATTGTTAATTTGTTTATAAAGTTTTTATATTTCTAAAAATAATAATTTTGTGCTTTTAAAATATTTTTCAAATTCTTAATAACTTTTTAAGTCATCATTGAAAGTATTTGTTACCTGTTTTTATAATTGTTTTTTAACTAACATACAATGAGCAGAATTTTAAGCAGATGCATTTTAAAGAGTAATTAATTTTATTTGCAATAGCAATTTCATAAAAAAAAGAAAGATTAAATGCCTATTTCTGTTGTCATGAGTAATAAACTGAATAAAATGACACTTACTATTGCAACAAATTTCTTCAAGAACCTGACAATGCAAACATAATAATTTACTTTAAGCTGTACATAAACTTTTTTTAATGATATTTACATAGTTAACTGAATCAATATTTACCACATGTGTTTCCTCAAATCAGCTACACTTGATGGTAAGCTGCATAACTTACGATACGTTCTGAAATAGAAGTCAGGTATTAGAAAAATAATGGTATAGGAGAGGTAAAAACTCAATAAAACATTTAAATATGTAACATCTATTTGAAATGCTAAAATATACAGCAAATTTTTTGTTATTATCTTTATTTTCCCATAAAAATACAGATTTGTTCATAGAATATTAGATTTCAGTAGTATACAAGCTGTTTCTAAAAGAAAAAAAATTCCTCTGATTGGAATGGAGAAAAGGAAAGTATCATTTAAAGAGATTAGAAAATTGACGAAAGTGACAGAAACTTATGAACTCATTACACCACTAAATTTTTTGAGACAGAAATCCCATTGACTATAATATTTTCCTTTTTATTTAAACTATTTTTACAGAATATTAAATAGACATTTCATATACAATATGTATAAAGGAAAAAAACTTTAAAAAATGCAAACATTTCATTCTTTTTCAAAATAAAACAAAGAAATAAATATGAAAGGGAGACTTGATGATAGAGATCTTTTAAAAATGATGTAACTTTAAGATACTTACTTGTTGAAGTAATCAGGCAATGTTAAAAGAATTTCTAAACAGCTGCAGCTTTATTTAACTCGTCAGTTCTAGGAAAAAAATAATAAGATTGATATAAAATGACACCAGATTTATGCATACATAATTTTAAAAAAACATTCCGATTCAATCAAATGTAAATTCACAAATTACAGCATAGAAATACATTAAAATTTATCACTAATAAAACTAGTTATCGACAATCAATCACTAAATAACTAAGTGTTAAAAATATTCAGTTAATTTACAAACTTTTAAATAAACTCATGATTATTACATGCATTTGCAATTTTGTTTGCAAACTGTAATGTACCTCATTATTTCCTAATTTAAATTTCTAATCACATATTTATAATATATGTGTAAATTTACCGACGACAAATCAAAAACATTTTGCTTCATTTACAGATATCTCTAAGATTTGTCTCTGATGAAACATGTTATAATCAGACCCACTCTAAATAAATAGGTGCAACACATATTTAATTAAAGTGCAAAAATTTTACCTAATTATGCTACACATATGCAGTTCAGTCTACAGACAATAAATTGTCACCAAATTTAACTCTATATTATACAAGTGGGAATTTATTTATGGATAATTTAAATATAAATTCTCACACAGATCATTCAGAGATAAATTATGATTTGTCTCTAGAAAGACAAGTAATTCTTATACAAGCTCTGAATAAGCAGGTATTGAACGATAAAATAAATTTAAAAATTAGTTAACAAACATCTATCATCTGTTAACGTGTGAAAAATTTTATAATATTTTTTTTAATTTAGTTTTTGCTACTTAGTAAAAGACACTCCACAGAACCTTCTTTTTTAATGAGAAATTGGAAAAAGCTCTGCTGTCTACTACATTAATACAAACACATTTTTATGGAGTGAAATTGGAAAATTCTGCTACTGGCAGCATTTTTATCAGTGGCCACTTTTTAAAACACGTGATCACTCTTTAAAAACTCAAAATGTTTAACTATAAAAAGAACTGTTGATATTAGTAATGTGAATGGAGAGCTGAGTGTAGTGAGTTCGATCCTGGAGGCAGACAAAACAACTGACGTATATATGTAGCAAGGTGCAAGATAAATCTAGTGAGGCTGAAAGTCCGCTCGTCGGTTGTCGTGAGGAAGTTGGGCGAAAAGGGTACCAGCTCAGAAAATGCCAAAGTTGCCTGATCAGTACAAAATTATGTGCTATTCCTACCATGACCATTAAAAGATAAAGCCCTGAAAATGGGTGAATGGGCGGGCATGGGTGGATGATGGTGAGGTTAATAAAGAAAGGCATTTTGAAACATTTCTCAAAATATAGTAAGTAGTACACAATCCATTTTTTAAAATATTTAAAAATTGTGAGAATCAAGCAAAATATAAAGTAATTTTCAGAAAAATATATTCATAATAAATGCACATAGGATGTAGTTTTGATGAATAAAGTTGCAATCGGTAGACAATTTTTCAATTGTCATTTGCTATATTTAGTTGCCTTCTGGCTGGTAGCAACTGTTAATTTTATCGTATACTATTGCCTACATTAATATTCAAGCTGAATCTCCTTAAAAATGCCTAGATTCAAATGTAATTTTTTAACAAGTAAATCACTTCAGAAATGAACATTTAATGCATTTCTTTAGAGTGGTGCAATTAATAATGTTGTCAACGTCATAACACATTTAATTATGCTATTACATAATTAACCACTGTGTGCCATGACAAAGTTTTTACAGTGGCATATGCAAACTTAACAAAAAATTTAAAAACATGAAAAAGTCATCCTCAGGAACTATACCAAATTTTACATCATTAGGCTGTCAAATATTTTTGTAGACATTGACAAAATACATTTGTAAACAATTGTGATCGATTGAGAACAACGAAACTAGAACTAATGGCAACTAAGAACTCATCGCAATATAGATAAATTTTGCAGAAAAACTACTAACTCGAAAGCCTTATTAATTCACCACTACTAGTTAATAATTATTTAAAATCAAATGTTTAAAGCATAAAGTGCTTTAGTTGTACCAGTGATTGTTTGGTTTTTAGGAAACACAGCTCAGCTACTGTAGTATATACCCATCTTCAATAAGTTAAATGATTTCATAAAGAGTTTAAAATGTTTTTAATTTTATTTTAAGGTTAAAAAAACTGTTTGTTTTTAGAGCTACCACACTTGTCTAAATCAAACACCTAAAATGAAGACATTTCATGGAAAACTTAATATGAATAAAAATATGAATAATATGAATAAATGCAATGGGAATAAAAAATACTTGCCTCTCGCATGCATAAACACAGTGAAGTCCAAAAAAAACCATATCATCCAATTCACACAAAATTGAACATGTCTAAAAAAGTATTCAAAGATAAGCATTTTTAGGTTAAAAAAAAACAATTGCAAACTCATAAAAAATTACCTTACATTAAGTTAAAAAAGTTTCTTAAACTAAAATAAGATAAGAAAGCATTTAAAAACTTTGTATGTTAGACTCTCAATTGAACGGGGATGATCGGGGAATGCCATTTCTCTGATAAAGTTACATACCAAAGGATGCAATTGCATAAAAATTTTTAAAAAATGAATTACACAAAATACATTTTTATGCATTAGGACAATAATAATTTAATTAATTTAAAAAGAAAAGAATACAAATTTGAAAGTAATTTATATTTTCTAAAGCAAACATTTATTCGAGATGCAGAAGAGGTAGCCAATGCAAAAAAAAAAAAAAAANAAAAAAAAAAAAAAAAAAAAAAATTGTATAACTTTTTTATAAAATTTTTTAAACACATTGAAACAAGTCAGTTTTGGTTGGTAAGAGACAATTAAAAATCCACTCTGATCGGTTTGAAAAAGTTCCCCATGAAAAAAAATTGCGATCGCCGAAACCTGATCACAAGTCACCCATTGGCAACATGGTCTTGGCATCATTCTTTTTTCTAGCTTCAACTCTAACCTTTGGAATCGTTCCATCAGTTTGGGACCCTCTTAATGTGTGATACTCACCTGAATTAGTATTGAAAATGATTCACTTTGAACTGTAGGTTAGAATTTCTGATTCTTAATTAAAACAATAAAAACATCATTCGAATTATGAAATTCTCTTTTATTCACAACTCAAGAAATATTTATGGGATCTTTCTGGTCCCATATCTCAAAATTAAACTCACCAACTTAATGCATCTCAAAGTTAAAAAAACAATTGTAAAAAATTATCAAACATCAGCAGTCGCCATAGCAACATGTTCACTATTACTCTTGAACACAGTTGAAAAATGTGACGACGTCCAAATAAGGTGCGCACGCCATCAAACCCAAAACAGCACCCACTTTGCCAATGGGCAAAAATAAAAAGTGGGTTCTTTATCCTACATTCCTCATCTTTAAGGTCATCCCTAATAACTACTCTTTTGAATAATCAAGATCATGGTTGACTGAGAATTATATTTATTACTTTAAGACAAATGTAATGTAAAATAATGTTTTCAAAATGGTGGTGGCTCAGATAATAGATCACTCACTTCCTAATGAGGTAACCCAAACTTGAATCTCAGAATCAGAAATTTAATATGAGTACCGCTTCTAGTATGCACCAACTATGGTACAAACATTAACTATCCACAGTGATGGTAGACCAATCATTTCCTCTCCATGTAGTGCAAACATGGGTTAGTTGCATCAAGAAGTCCTCCACGAAAGCTAATTTGTCCAAATTCTTGATCCAAACCCTTATCTTCTGAATTAGTTTTAAAATTACAACAAAAAAAAATAAAAATAACGGAGTTGAAAATTGAAAGTCATAAACTCAGAATTGGACCTGCTATTCAACACCAGATATAAAATAAAATAAAGTATTCACGTCATTACTATTGTACAGATCTCAGGAGAATTTCTCCAGTCAAGTTTCACAATGTGGATGGTATTACGGCTACAAGAGAAAGTCACTTCCAAGAGGGGATGGATATTGTTATTTTGATCTTGGCACAGAATTGACACCTATGTTTCCCCACCGCACCCCATTGGAAATGTGCTCCATAGCTGCTCCAGACTTTTAGTCTGGAAGAGTTCTCTTGAAACCTGCACAGTAGCATGAACAGTTTTAAAATAAACATAAATACATCAAGAATAATCATTAAAAGAAATATTAAAAACAAAAATTACCTCTGATTTTAAACTTTCTGTAAACACCTTGCAGTAACTGAAATCATTACTTGACATATAGAGAATGTAATTTTTGAGGAGAGGTTTTGCAGATCCTGAACTATATTTTTCACACTAATTGAGGTAAAGTACTAACCATGAATACAAATGAGCAATGAAGTTTTCTTTTGATGTCTAAAATTAAAAAAATACATAGCATATAAACCATTAAAAATAAATATAAAAATAAAGTAAACTATAGTTTTACTAACTAAGGCAAACAACGTTAAAGAGCACAAAAATATTTTTGTGCTCTTTAACATTGTTTGCCTTAGTTTGCACTTTAGCACAAAGGTCGCCCACTTGTGTATTTATAGTTTTACTGCTGAAAATCAACATGGTTTTACTTCAATCTGGCTACTAACATTCAGAAAATTTTTTTTCTTGACTTTTACTTCATTTCTTTAGACCAATATTAACAAATTTCATATTTTTATTATTGATGATAAATTTCATAATTGATTTTCCAGTTCTGCCTTATTTGCGCAGATAAATTACAAAGATATTTCAGTTACTCTTGAAGTTTAAAATCTAAAATTTTTTAATCATCATGAAAAAATATCAAATAATAGCAAATAACACAGCACTTTAAAAAACAATATATAATATAAGTTATTGAAATATCCACGTGAAAAACATTAGTTGATTCTTATCATAAATATCTATAATGAAAATCAAGTTTTGGAAATTAAATATTTCAAATATTAAATTAAAAAAAAATACTTCCATGAATAAAGGAGTGCACCAGCAATTGTTGGAATAAAACCAATAGCATTTCTTACTAGTTTATTTATTAATACCAAGTGAAAAAAAAACCCATACCTTTAGAAAATTTCTTAAGAAAAAATTACCCTACTCTAACCCAAATAAAAGCTTGCCCTTGATTTTTGAATATTAGAATAGAATTCCCTGTAGTTGTTTTTTCTAATTTTCTTGCTCTTTAGCCATCCAGTCTAATTAAAATTCTTAGTATCTTTAAACTTTTGCTTGATACATAATAAAGTAAAAGAAATAATAACTGTACTTTTATTGTTGTAAATAAGAGAAACTAGATGAACAATACCTAATTAAAGTAATAATTTCTTTGTTTCTCCTATTTGTCCCTTAAATTCTTAAAATTTATGTTTGTAAAATACAGGAATCCAAACCTACAATGGTTCTTTTCCTTTTAAGAGGAGCTACTTTATCTTAGTTTCCTGTAATGATATTTAAATACAAAATGAAGAAGTTTATCCTAAATTTATAAGTCAAATTTTTCAAGAATATAGATTAACTTTCTATACATTCAATTACAATGCAATTAATTTAATAATTCAATATATCTAATTATAATATATAAGTTTCAGAACAAGGAAATTAATTTGTTCACAAAAAGAAATAATTTTTCAATAAAAATTGTTACATGATTTTTACACATGATGTAATTTATTTTCAACTACATATTTGTTTCTATTTTTTTAATTGATTTTATAACTAAACTGAAAACTATTCTTAAAATTAAAAAGTACAGAGATTAAAGTTTGCACTAAAATCATATTAATCATGTGAGATTTATCTCTAAATAAATTGAACAATTAAATATAACGGGTTCAACGAATATCTCATTACTGAAGTAGTCTTCATCAATAAACTCGAAAGTTAATGATCATCCTATTAATGCTTTAAAATTTTAACTTTTAAATGTTCGACTAGAAATTTTTTTAGACTTCTAGAAAACTTTTTGTGTTGAACAAAAAGATTTTGCTAGACATTAATTTTGGCTGAATGAAAACAAAAAAGAAATTTTTTCGTCTTTTCTAATACTAATATAAAAATATTTTTCTTGATGTGATTCTGTAAGAATACAATGGATATCACAGGTTTAAGATAAAAATAATATAAATTGCTAAATGTTTTAAATAAAATATTTTTCACATTAAAATGATAAACAAAGAAAACAATTATGAATTGTAGTAAAGAAATAAAAAAGCAGTAGTAATAAATCTTAATCCAATAGAATTATTACAATCGAATAAATTATTATATAAATTCTTTTTCTTTCTAGGACGTAATTAATACATTTTTTTAAAAAAAATAGCAAATTGATTACTTACTATGGAGATTATGAGCTTAACTTTTTCAGAGTCACTCAGTTTTTGGAAATCAGATAAATTTAGGTCTTTTTTTTATTCCACAATCATAAATCAAAATTTCTGAAGTCCTCAAATCATCATACAATTTCTCCACACCCTAAATGATGACAAAACTGTATAAGATAATTTAGCATATGGTTGGGAAAAAAAAGTTCAGTCTTCTTCATTATAGTACCATTACAATTAAACAAATTGTGAATTGAAAATAAATATGGTTATAAGCATAAAAAAGTAACAAAGCTATTAAATATTATGTAAAAGTAATAAATATAATGTGACACGAAATTCACGTAAAACATATTTTAATATGTTTTCATACAAAAAAAAAGATTTTACATATTAAACTGAATTTAAGAAAAAAAATGTGACCACAATTTAGATGCTTTAAAAATAAACATTCAATGAAGTATTAAAACAACCATTTTTTTTCTCAAAAACACTTCCAGCTTTCATAACTAAAATTTATATCAGTTATTTAAAGTAGATAACAAGAAAAATGTTAAATCATGTAACATTTGATCTATAATTATAAAATAAGAGGCACCTCTCTTAGAACTCCCGCTAACATGAGAAACATTAAACTGCTAACAAAACAAAAAATTCTAAGACAACAAGAAACTTTTTACAGGAGTCTGATATCATATGACCCTTCGTAGGGCTATCAGGATTTTATGTTTCAGACTGGACACAAGTTTCTACAGATTCACTATATTGGACTTGTAGACTCTCCTAACTGCATTTTGAGTGAGAAACACGTTGACATGAATGATCTTTAGAACGGTTCTGCCACCCAGGAAGCCTGCTTTTATTGTATTTCAAGAAACACTCCAACCTTGAAGATATCTCTTTTGGCATTCAATTGAAGAACTTATGCTTCATAAGCAAATACAAGGTTGTAATAAATTAACTCGATAATGTAATAATTAAAAAATTAACTCGAAAGAAATTATGATACACGATTCATAATCTACTTTCACAAGATACACAAAATAAAAGTTAAATAAAATTAACGTTAATGTAAATAATATTGCTTAACATGTGCACAAATTATGATGAATCTAAACAATATGCTAAATAATAATGAGGTCTCAAGTTCAGGCTTCACATATTTCTTTTTTGATCTAGTTACACGCTTAAAGTAAATATTAACACTTAATTGTCTAAATATAAGATGATTGGGCTTCAATGAATATGGTAAATCTTTCAGAAAAGCATGCATGATTGTAATGCTTTTTCGTAATTATCCCTTGTTAGTGATAGTAAAACTGCCCTATGTTTTATTCTCAGATTTTAATGCTTTATTCTTGTCTTTCATAAAATATTTTGCTCACACCAAATATTTAACCATTAAAAAAATTCAATTTTGTAACAATAAAAGTAATAGATTTAATATCCTTAATTGAAGATGCCACCATTGGCTACATGTCTGAGGCTGTAGCAAAATAGAAAAGAGAAGTCCAGCTCTTCAAATACCTAACTAAAGCATGAAACTTCTCGGTACGGTATGCTATACCACAACATCAACTTCGAGGCAGAGCAACATACACTGATTAAGCAAAGCATCAAATGTACTAAGATCCTACGCATGAGTAGGCAAAATGCCGGGGTGTACGTCACCTGAATCGTTTGTTGTTTAGGTACGGTGCCTCCCACTAACCACCATTTTATTCTATTTCAATATGCACTAGCAGATATAACAGCATGAATGATATAACAGAATTTTAAAAGAAATAATTTAATAAAAAGTACAGCACTGTTTATAAAGAAATGCAAAAATGTAGCAACAAACCAAAAATAAAAAGAGAAAACTTCAAAAAATCAGCAGTGGTTAAGGGTAGAGGCGGGTGTAAACCCACTTTAAGAAGAGTTCCTACTGTTGTAACCCAAAATGTTTCCTCCTCTGCACTGTACCAACCCTAAAGAGACTGGTTTATATTGTGTCTATAGAAGCTAGCCTTCTTTTTCTATGTAGATTATTTGGCTGTAGACTCCTCACCCCTTCTGTACACACCTTTGAGGGCAGTTACGAGGGAAAAATTTCCCTAAAAATTGAACATTATTGATAATAAAAACATAAGAGTGTATTAAAATGTTTATTTGTATTCTCCTTTGCATTCCAAGTTTCAAAAGTTGAAGAGCATTATCCACAAGTCCAGATCTTGCTTCAATTTGCTGTGCTCTTTCAATAAACCATTCTGTAACTACTTCAAATGATAATGAATAATTTCTGGAAATAAAAATAAAATCACTTTTAAGTTAGTTAGAATTCTATAAAATAAAATTAATTACATCAGAAAAATTAGAAAAAGATTTAATTTAATATTTTCTTTAATTAAATGTTAATAAAAAATTCACTAAGTTCTCATTATCTGCAGTAATTGTGATTGTACCTAGTTTAAGAAATCAAAATATTTGGATAATAGAAGCATTTCTTGTCTTGAAAGCACAAAATGATCGCCACTTGTTAAGGCAGACAGGCTAACTTGGCCCCTGGCCTACAGCTTGGTAGAGCTTCCTTAGACAAATGCAATCTTTTAGTCAATGGTCCTTTGAATCAGTAACTAAATACTCTTAATTTTTCTTCTTCTAAAGAACTTAGACTAACATTAGTAGCTTCATACCAAAAGCAACAGTATAGTGTGCAAAATAAAATAAAAATTGAACACCTCAATATCTTTCGGCCTAATGATTTTATCTTCATATACTAAGATGCTAAATTAATAGAATTATTAAGATAACAACTTAGTGCATAAAAGACTATAAAGGTGCTCACTTCTTTATTTTGCACAT